CTCCGCACTCTCGGTAGTTTCGAAACGTCTTCATCGTGTAAGTGGCGTGCTGTTGATCTAGGTGAACCAGAAGGCCTAGACTGCGCACCTAGTGCTGGGGTGGCACAAAAAGAGCGAGCCAACGATTTCTCAATTGTTGCCGACATTCAACAGGCTCATCTACCTATCGATGGCAGCGGATTGAGAATGACTTGGATACATGGCGTGCATCATGTACATTAAGGTTAAGGGGACACAAAAAAACAAGCACGTATTCGAGATAGAATCTATTAGGCACTCAAGAGGGTGGAGAGATACTGTGGTGCTTGTATGGGGAACAGTTCCGTCAAGCGGGAATTCGACAAATGATGATAAATTGTGAATGGGCATACCGCGGTACATTCACCTGAATTTGGTTCCGATTCCGATGTAAATCCTGCGGCAGGTTTCACCGGCGGTTCTTATAGGTCTTCGAGCAGGATACACCCAGCCCTTTTCAGTACATGCTGCAGCAGGATCCCACCCAAACACCGTCTCGCGTGTGTGTTGGAGAAAAACAAATACCGGGCCGCTGAAGCTGAGCTACGCGTCGGAACAAGTTTTTCAACGTCGAGTTTGCTGTATACGCATGTTTTCCAGCTTCATCCCACAGCCACCCGGATACATACGCATGCTCAAACAATATCTGTATCGATAGCCATCACCGCCATAGAACGGCTGTGGCGGTGAAAGTCCGGAGCACGTTGGAACCAGCGCCCAAAGACACTTTCAAATGTTGTGCTCAAGGACTTGCATATCCGCGTTTGGCCGGTTGGCGGGTGTCATCTGCTACATATTATCATGTCCACGTACGCATGCGACCACATGTCCAAGGGTAGTGATCGTAGCAAGTTTCAGTTCGAACGTGTTGTTGAGATGGCCCGCATCTGCGCCCCGGTTGACACCACCGAAGCGAGCGACGCAAGGACAGCAAATATTTGTGAGTTCGTGTGAGAGAGCTGAGATGATATCCACGTTCCGTTCAATCAAGCAATCGTTGGCTGCGCCCTACAGCAGTGCCGAACAACATCGCACCAAGCTCAAGCTGAAAATGGTATGACCGCTTGGCGGTGCATGTTCGGCGGAAGCCTATTCTCGGCGGCAAACGCATGTTGGACATCATTTGGGCTTCAGCCGTCTATTTTCGGCAATGACTTCCCGTCCCAAATCGTACGACAGCGGAGGGTGCGTGGGTGTGAATAAACGACCACCTCCAACAGCAAACGTTGCCTCCCAGATGACAAAATTCGTTCCGAGGACTACACTGACTGTTTCTGCTGCTCCATCCGTATCCGCAGTGGCAAAGGCTGTGGCGGCATACTACCAGAGGGTATTATTGGTGCATTTTTGTCACCAACAACGTGTGACATTGTATGTATGGTGGTCTCATGTCCTGGGCTCTGTCCGTTCGCCCTAAGGGCTCTTCTGACAGCCGGGTTTTAACAAAATAGACCCAGGCTACCCGCAGACTGCATTGAAAGCAAGTTGCATTCGCGCTCCCCACCAACCTGTCCGCGGTGACCCTTGACCAGCCCGGTGTCTGAATGGCTTCTTGTTTCACGTATTAGGGAAGTCGACGGGAGGTGTTGCTATGCTGTTCGCCCTCAGCACAAACAGACGCCGACACTACAGTATTCAGTACTACTCTAAAAATAGAGCATAGAGCATAGAACAGCAGTAGTGTCGTCTGGAAAATCGCGATGCAATCGAAATGTTGGAACTGTCTTATGGAAACAAGCCAGGCATGGATCGACTTGTCGAACGGTCGCACCTTGAAGATGTCATAATTGTGTGCTATGCGATATGCTGAATGGTAATGCAAGACTGACACCGATGTCGCTACGCTCTTACGATCACTTCTCGGTATGGACCGAACGACACGGCCGGTAGTGTCGTGCCCAATAGAGGCGGTTTCGAAGAGTTCAGATCGTACATAAGCCCATATCCACGACACCTCCGAAAGTAGTGCCGTGACATGATATTGGGCCATATCACGGCAACCATCGGTCATCTTGGGACGAACGAGGGATTGTGCAACAGCTGAGACCCATGGGAAGGAAGTGCAGGCACGGAGTATCGAAACATTTCAAGCTGTTTCATACAACACCAGTGTCGCACGTTGCGATACCATACAGAGAATGACGCGGGGTACTGTCCGTTCGAAAAGACAAAACACGATTACGAAGAGCCAATGCGGCCATGCGGGGTTGCGACTCCCAAAGTTAATCATACGTGGCGAATATTGTTGTAAGCGATGCAAGATATGGCTTGGGCAACAATGCTAGATAGTGCCACGCAATTTGAGTCTCGAGTTGCATTCATGGAGAATACCCCAACGTGACCCTGCTGGCGGTCTGGACCGTAGTAAGCGGCGGCCGCAATGCCGCAAGGAAGGGTCATGGCCACGGAATCCAAAGCCAAGTGTTACTGTAGTATCATCTAAAGAATCGCCCGGAGCAAACAGACTCACGTTTTCGCCTCTTGCTCCTCCTCCTCCTCCTCCTCCGACCGAGAACGGGTCCCTCATGCAATAAACGTCCTCCATGAACACTAGCTGGGGGCAGAAGGGTGGCTTCCTGCCGTGATAGTCGACTCGAAAACTCTCTCCGCACAACGAACAAGTGAAAGACGACTTCGGCGTGCCTTTTGCTGGAGTAGCCGAAAGTGCTCGTGGTGGCCCGTCGGCGGCATATGTAGTGCCGCGCCAAGAATGTGCCATGGCGTTGTCAGTGCCTTGTTCAATTTTGTCCCCCCTGCAGGTCGTTGTGGCATCGGGGAAAACACCCGTGTACAGCAGTAGAGCGTAGTGCAAGGCAGTTGACCCTCTTTGTTTACCAGGTCAGGGACCAGACAATCGAGGCTCAGACTCCACCGCATGCCAAGACCCAGCGGCGAGCAATGCGGTTAGGGGAACAAAGACCATGAATCATTGCACATCTAGGTGACAAGCGAAGATATACTCGCAAAACACCCACCGGCGATCGACAACACACGAACCAAGAAGGATGTGGTATCTACTTCGTGTAGTTCTGGCGCTGACCAGTTTCAAGGAATTCTATTTGCTCGGTGTGTTCTCGCTTCATTGAAAGGGCTCTCTCTCTCCAGACGCCATGTGTTTGATCGCTCCCTGCAGGTGCCCCGCACGCTACCCCCACTCTCCCAGACCGTCGGTACAGGACCACCGTCGTCGCACATGTGAACCGTGCGAAACTTCTAGCACTACGGCTGTATAACGATTGAAGACAGAGTCGGAGGCGCACGCAAGTTCTCATTTCCATTAATAGTCTTGGACTACAGTAGTACCTGCGGTTCATAGCTCGGCTGTATTGCTGTAGGCAAACGGCGCGCGTGCAGCATGAACTGTAAGTAAACTATGACAATATTACACATACACAGATTCGGATAGTTTTTTCATTTATCAAGCAGATATAAGGACAAGAAGGTTTCCTGGAATCTTCGTGCAGGCTAACATTTTCAGATCTGACTGTGAGGTTCCCAACTTTCGTGGCTGCGCTGCGTGACAGCTGCACCTTGACAGCGCCCCCACTGCTATTGAGTGTGCACGTGTGTGCGCGTCTGTGTCGCTCCCTCAACCCCAGCACCCGAAATCGCACCAGGAAGAAATTACAATGGCCGGCAGCCTCTGACGTGCCATGTCGCGTTCCAAGCGTTCGGAGAGGGGTTTTGGGAGGGGGGCACATCCAAGTCAAACGGCCAAACGTTTCTTGAAAGAGATAGCGAATTCTCTTGCGCGGGGAAAGATTCGCTTCGCCAGCATCAAGTCGAAACTGGGAGACCACTTCATGCTCCTCCTGCTGTTCTTTGCTGGCGGTGCTGCCGCCACCTCTACGTCGTCGTTGTCTCTGCGGTTCGGCGCTCTTCTCCCCCCCTTGCCTCAACCTGACCGGGGTGCTGCTGACCTGAAGCCGCAAACCCAACTTGACTTCTTGACCGTGCAGCCTCTCTGTCTTCATGTATGTCCCGCCCTAGCGCCAGGACCTTTTTTTCGCTGGGCGCTGAGTTTCTCTTTGACCCGCGTGGACTTGTTCTTTGAGAAGAGTGTGTGTGTGGGTGGGGTGGTGACTGGTGTGTTACCGTAAGGTTGCGAGTCAGCGCACAGGGGTGCGAACGATTTTCAAAGCGTAGCTTCTCCATAACCAGGACGCTGTCAAAAAGGGCGGTTTTGGAAATATCTCATCGAGAGCTTTCTTTGAGAAGTATCAGTTGGCGCTCGCACCCTGCTGGGTGTGTTGAAATTACGCTTTGAAAATCGATCACACCCCTGTGCGCGCAACCTTACGGTAAATTCGAAGAAATTTTCGATGAAACCAAGAAAATGCGAGCCTCCCTCCGCTCTTGTTGTGGAGAAAAAATGCAGCTGAAAGTCCTCGCCCTAACGGAAATGGCGAGACTGCGGAGAGTTCCTCAGAGCGATTGGAGACTAAAAAATCTGGCTTTGTTTCTGGAAGTTTTTGGAGTCCCTTATGCATATGCACGATAGGAGACGAACGCCTGTGTAATGTAGCTGCTGCGGCAGCGATGTAACCGCAGCTCGGCTTGCGAAACAGGCTACTGATGCTGTAGTTGGTAGCAGTCTAGTCTACAGCAGTTCGATGGGGACCTGCTGAGGATCCAGTTGACAAGTAGACTGTACGCACAGGTCCGAACAAGTTCTGTACCCGCTCACCCGTGTCGATAAGCTTGCCGCGATTCAGTTGATGTTCATCTGGCCTTCACTCCTTCGTCGACCTGAGAGAGAAGCAAGAGCAGAAAACAAACCCTTGTGTCTTCTGGCCCCTTGCTCCTGTCCTGTATCCGTCCAGGCACCGTAGAGAGAGCGCCGAGAGAGCGCCGACTATGCCAGCCGGCAATCTACAGCCGCTTCCCAACAGTCCTGAACCAGCACGCCATATTTTTGGCAAACCTTTGCGGAGACATCACGTGCCTCTCTTGCTGTGATCGTACTTCTCTGGCGGAGAAGGATGGCATCGCTAAGTTCTTGTCAGGCCGGAAGGCTCCTCGCAATCGCCGCTATCGTTGTGGTCGCTACGAGACCCATCGAAGGGTTCGTGCGAGAGGAACGCGGGTATCTAACAGCATCAGGTAACACTGGGGACTGTGTATGCGTATGTTGTTTTGGAGCCGGTTTTTGTCTCTTCGCAGCGGGGTCGAAATGAAAACGATCACGAACAGAGCGCTGCGCTCGCAGTGGCTCGCGTTCGCTCGCAGACGACAGAACGGCGTGCGACGTTGGTGATAGTGCGGATTCCCCGCGGTATTAAGCAAGTGCGTGTTTACATCAGCAAGCAGCGTGGCGTCGTCAAAATATGTGTACCATGTGCGGACCTGTAGCCTGTTCAACTCTCAACTTCAAATCACCAATCGCCCGCAAGGTGAGTGCCATATTTCTCTGCTTCCCGTGGATTCTCAGCACATCTTTCTCTCTCGGCCTTGGTTCTCTGCAGCAGCAGCAGCAGCAGCAGAGGATTACGAGTAGGTCAGAGTACTTCGATGTTTGTCGGTGCTTGTTACAAGTGACGCGGCCAGCGACCGATTCATCGCTTATAGCCTGCTGCCAAGGTTATGCACGTGCTAAAAGGCACGTGTCTGTGCCATGGGTGTCTGGATCTTGAGCGGGCTACCACTTGGAGGCGGAACGCCTTTAAATCAGCACCACACAGCAGTAGTATAATAGCAGATCAGTACTAAGATCGGGATACGTTGCCACCTTGAACCTCGAACAATCCTCCTGCTGTTGGCCAGCAAACATTGCGTCAACATGGCGTCAAAGCTAGCTTGAGATGATCAATAGTAAGATCGAGATAACGTAGTTGTACGAAAAAATACACTGAAAAGTGTAGTACTTTACATACGCTGAAAAGTGTAGTACACGTCTCACCACGAAAAATGGGGGAACCGTCGGCATAATTAATAGGACGAAAACACACACAACACACCCCTTACCACCTTGAACAAGGTGCTGGCAACTGGCAAGCCTGCTGCCAACGTTATATGCTACCGACCGCCGAGTGAGATTCCTTCCCTTGACTCAACTCAACCATTCGGCGCGCTCATTTCACGAAGCAAGGTTCAAGCAATTGCACGTTTACATTGAGCCCCTGCGTTGATCCCGGAAACTTGATGTACATACTGTAGTTGATGCAGCAGTCAGGTGTTCCCAGCCGAGGACTGGATGTTCTTCGACCTGGCTGATCTCGCGCCACTAGCGAACGAACACGGTAGTGCACCTATGGCAAAGGCAAGAATCTCGCTCCTTTTCCGCGCGCGTTACGCCTCTCTCCATCCTCTGCCTCATGCCGGGAATACCCCGGCCGACGGGAACAACAGCAGGCGCACCAACATCTACAGCACAAGATGAGCCAACCCCTTGGAGCCGCCGCCCTCTCGTCTGCTACCGGTCTTCGTGTGCCCATCCTTCCACCCTTCTTCCTTTCCCGTCGGACTTCCCGGGCACGCTGCGAATACGGGGCGGGGGAGCCAAAGTGGCCCCCAAGAGGACGTCGGGAACGGGAGGAGGTTCGGATGCAGCGTCGAAACCCCTCCTGGGTCCGATCACGAGACGTAAGGCTGCGGACTCTGCCGTGGAGAAGGGCGAGGATGGAAAGGAGGACGGTCAGCAGGAATTCGCGCCGCAGTTCCTGGACTTTGAGTCCAGGGTCGGTTTCATGAAGAAGGTTTGTGGTAGGGGCGGCGAGGAAGGCTCTCTGAGTTTGATCCAAGGACGCTTTGCATTCAGCACCGTGTAACTGGTGCTTAGTAGTAGCACTACTGTTCGGTGGTGTAAATGAATAACATATAAATGAGGTTTCAACCCAGTATGGCGGCGACAAGAAACGACCATGACCAAAATAAAAAATGCATGCAACGCCCATGGTCTGGGTCTTGGTGCGCGCGTGCATGTTCTTTGTTTCGGTCACCCGACTGGCCAGTAGAACGTCGTCAGTGCGAGCAGGCAGGAATAGCGAAGATCGGTTTTTGGCAAGATATCCCCTGACGAGGCTGTGCAGGTCGGTTCGGCCTTCGATTTTAGAGTATTTGAGCACCATCGCATGTAACTTACGCATGACCAGGGCCGTACACGTATGCTAAGACGTACACGCTACGCCGAACGGTAGCTCGACCGCTCACGCGCACGCGTTTGGAACAGACTCGGTGATGATGAATGATGACGGTTCCGCTTTCTTGCTCTCGGCTTGTTTCTGAACCGCATTCCTCCTCGAAAGGTGTACCTGACGCTTAGCATCCAGCTGGTGTACACGGGTCTGGTGTGCGCCGCGATGAGGGGCTACCGAGATGCAATCCTCGGGGTTCTGTTCGGACATGGGAACGTCCCGCAGATCCTGTTCTTCGTTAGCACGTTAGTGACCATCATTTCCACGCACACGATCATGTGGAAAAACCCCGAGGTCAGCCGAGCGAGAAACGACAGTCGGTGCTGTTGGCATTCCGCTACTCATCAATAACTTGGATTTTTACGGGATTGTCTGCTCCTTGTTGCAGCGGTGAAGAGGCGCAAAGCCCCTCCGGGCTTTCGGTTGCATGGCGTGATTCTTGGCCTAGAACCCGATTGCTTTGGTCGTATTACGGAGGGTGGTTCCCGCGTCCATCCATTGACTCTCCGCCTTGTTGGGTTGTACCTGGCCTTCGGAAGGGGGCGCTTTTCTAGTCGTTGTTGCTCGTTAGAACAAGATTCCCGCGTGCAAGAGAGGAAAACCGTAGGTGTATGTATCATGTCGTGATTGAGAAGGCTGGGGACCTACTTCTCGTTGTCGTTGATGTTGCAAGTGGCAGTAGAGATGAGTTCGTCGGTACCGACGCCAACAAAAGGCGGAGGCCGTTGTTTCACCTATTCACGCAAAACCTTTAGCTATTTTTTTGTTTGTTTTACCCCTTCTCATGACCGCTGCGGCGCTGTCGTACCATTCGCTGCCTGCTTTTTTTGCCTGTGTGCCTGCCTCTATTGTTTTGCCTACCTGCCTGTCTAATTATTTTGCCTGCTGTCCATACGTCTGTCCCGTGCGTTCGTGCACAGCTGCGCCAAAGCTTCCCGAGGAACCTCCCGTTCCTCACGGCGTACACGACGGCATGGGCACTCTACGTCGGCGTGTTTTCCCTTATGTTCACAAAGGGCTCGGTGATCCGGGCGGTCTTCCAGTCGGCTTTCGTGGTCGGTGAGAGAAGATGCCCCCAACTTGTCCCATTCCTAACCCTGGCGCCTAGGCAAAGACATGAAATTGCGGCCTGATGTCTCCAAGCCTCTCCAACACTTGCGTGAAGAGGGCACACACTATGTTTTTTTGTTTCGTCAGAGCCCACAAAATCATTGCACAATTGTGTATGCTGTTCTGACGCATAAACACAACAACAGCGTCCACTGCCAAGAGTTAAGGGAAAACAACACAACAGGGTATACCATGGTCGAAAAGCGACTCACCTCGGGTACACAGTCATTAACAGCGGTAAATGCACTCGTATGATTGGTCAGCGCCCACTTTCACCCTGGTGCGTCAGAAAAAGCGCAGGGTATACCCTGCTGTGGCTACTTTTCTCAACAGCTGTACCCTGGTTTCGGAAATGTACGCCGACCTGACGGGAAATGAGATCCTTTCATCAATCATTGCCCCCGCAGGAATCTTCCCAAATCCTTTTCCCCTCCAACCATGGGATACCAAACGGCGAATCTTGCCGCCCAATAACAACCATGGCAACGGGGCAGGAATCAGTTTCCGCCCCTGCGAAACAACACCAACCTTCGACTCTTCCCGCTCTAAATCAACAATGGCCGGTACCCCAGCACGATTGTTCCGTTTGGAAACATGCACACGTACAATACCCCGTGGACTACTGCTTGTTGCAGCCTATATGCGAGATGCACGAGTCACGCTAAGAAAGCGAGACCGATCCAGCAGGGTTGACACGCATGCATGTGCCAATTTGTGGCGCTGTGCTGGCGGCGAGCTCGCGCCACGTTGGGCGCCGCCACCCCCTCATGCCTGTGCCGTGTGTGCGCGCGTGTGTTGTTCGTTGTGTCTCAATTGTGATGTGTGTCTCGCTTGAACTACTGCTGTACAAGTAGCAGCACAGCGGTCGCGCTTACCAGCCAACCAAGCCAACCAATCCATTATTAGGAAACACAAATACAAACACAGAAAGACTACCCATTCGATGCTTGACCACAGTCGAACGGGATGTGTTTGGAGTCTTTACAGTGAATGGAGGGAAACCGGCTGGGTACTGGGCTTTTTTTAGTCTATTTTAGCCTATACACTGAAAAATTAGAAGACGTCAGGCTTCAGCGGGATGAACCGATGAGACACAACGCGAGCGCTCTTTCTTCTCTCTACCGACAGGGAGGGTGAAGGAGTTGAACGACACAGCAGTGTCCTGCTGCTAGAGAAAGGATAAGACTCGTGTGTGCGTGTAGATATCAAGGGCGTGTCTGTGTCTGCTGGTCCTGCCTCTCCCCTCCGCCCTCTCTGCGGGCGCGAGCTCGCCGCCAGCACAGCGCCACACATTGGCACATGCATGCATGTCAACCCTGCTGGATCGGTCTCGCTTTCTTAGCGTGACCCGTGCATCTCGCACATAGGCTGCAACAAGCAGTAGTCCACGGGGTATTGTACGCGTGTGTGCATGTTTCCAAACGGAACAATCGTTCTGGGGTATTGCTCGGCCATTGTTGATTTAGAGGTTGAAGAGTTGAAGGTTGGTGTTGTTTCCCAGGGTCGGAAATTGGTTCCTATCCCATGGTTGGAGAAGAAAAGGATTTAGGAAGGTTCCTACGGGGAAGATGATTGATGAAAGGATCTCATTTCCCGTCAGGTCAGCGTACATTTCCGAAACCAGGGTACAGCTGTTGAGAAAAGTAGCCACAGCAGGGTATACCCTGCGCTTTTTCTGACGCACCGGGGTGGAAGCGGGCACTGACCAATCATATGAGTGCATTTACTGCTGTTAATGACTGTTTACCGAGGTGAGTCGCTTTTCGACCAGGGTATACCCTGTTGTGTCGTTTTCCCTTTTTTTCACTCTCATCTGGATCCAACCCCAAACTTGCGTTCGGTCCTTTGGTATCAGGTTTTTTGTTTTTCCCTGCCGGGGTCCAGGGTAGCGTGGTGAGCTCTCGTGTTTCAGTGCTACGCTTGAGCCCCACAAGACCCACACAATTTTCAAGTACTCTTCACCCGCACTCGTTTGAAGAGGTGCTGTCCCCCATGCGATGGGAACGTTAACTCTTATCAACCCAATCTATCGCCTGCTTCCAGGTTTCTGTAGTATGGTTATTTCGATCAGATGAAGTGGATATCCTCGTTGTTGATCAGCAACTCCATGCACAGCAGTTCGGGCATCCGTCGATTGCAACTTTTTTGGGCACGTTCCGCCGTACGATCCGACTCGGCGGGGGAGAGCTCCGGGAGTTTCTCAACTGTTAGATTTAGAACCATAATGAGTCACAGATGGAACACAAACACGCTAACGACTGGTCGTTGATGCCCACCGCTTCTATCAAATCCACGGATCCACTGGAAAAGCTTCCGTGAAAATGACTACATCGTTTGGCTTGTCAGCTATCAATAGTGGCGCGTGTTCGTGTACGTCACAGGTGCACATTGTCGGAGGGCCGACGTAGCAGTAGTACGAAGACAAGAGTGGTAGGATGCGTTTTATGTCGTTTTATTTTTGATCCTCGGGCAGACATTTGTCATCGTGAGTAGCTGTTCATGTTAAATTTGGTGACGCATTGTACCGTGTTTCGCTGTTGCCGTGCACGCCCAGGGTCCCTGACCGCGTACGCGTTCCGTACCAACCCCAAGCACGAGCTGACCCAGTTCGGCGCCGGGCTGTATTCCGCCGGGAATGCGCTGAGCTTGTTTTGCCTGATGAAGATCTTTTTCTTCAGGGGGCACCGTGCTTCCGATCTGGCCTTGTCGTGCCTTGCGACCCTCTTCTTCAGCCTCTATCTCGTGTTCGACACCTACAGGTGGCCCTAGAGTCCTAACCCTCTCCACTTGCATTGAGAGTCATCATTGAATGTGTATCTTGGTGGGTCCCCCTCCGGTCCGTGTACCGTCAGCGGAACTCTGAAGCAAGTTGTGGCGACTGATGTCCCATCGTTGGTGCCCAGTATTTCCGAGATGCTTAAAATCCACCCGAGATGTTATTCGAGCTCTGATATGTCGAAGACATCAATAGTAAGTGTAGCGCTCAACTTTGATTTTAAGGCTTTGAATGACGAAAAAGTCGTCGGAGGACCTTTTTCGAGGACTTTTTTTATTTCAGAACCAACCAATACTATCTACAAAATAGATATATCATTGAAAAAAATCGTTTTTAACAATACCTATTGGACTCTTTGAATTTTTGGGGCTTAGGGTCCGAAACACCTGTCGTACTGCTCTCTTGGAGCCGTTCTCAAACTATAGGGGGAGGTCATGTTCATGGAGGGGAGGTTCTGCTTTTCGACCCGAAACTCTCCGCCCCTGCTTTGTTCGGCGGTAAATGAACCAATCAAGGATCATCGGTGGGAAGCATCGCCAGTCGTCCATGTTCAGCGTCAAGGATTGGGCCATGGCAGCTATGGAGTTGTATCAAGACATTATGCAGGTGTGGTTAAGTTCACGATGGACACCGGGACGGAAGACAAACCCTTTCTGTACATATGCGTTCCGTAACCCGTTTTTGTTCCATGCTACTTTTAAGACTCTCCCATCTACTTTTTCCTGTCGTAACTACGTTTTCCGCCAGCTCTAGTTTCACGAACGTTTTCCGCTATCTAGCACGTGCCAAGCCAGGGGGCGATACACTATGTATGGATAATGCTAAAGGAGAGGAGATGGTATTCCCACACGTATGCTTGTCTTCTTCGTGAGTGTGTTGCGTCCGGAGTATCTCACACGCCGTTCTTGCTTTGCCTTGCGCCTATATCTTGCGCGCGCGTGTGTGCGTCTCATCCTCCCCTCCCCTGCGCAGATTTTTTTGCACCTTCTTTCCATCTTTGGAGAAGTTCAGTCATGATGCATGACACTGTTTGGTCGCCTCCGCATACCGACTGCCTGCAAATTGAAGTGACACGTCGACGTGCACGTGGCACGCTATTTTAGCCGCTTTAACGAAGCGCGGAGGTTGTCGTGAGTTTTCGCTGGTGGCGGTGGAGAGAGCGGGAGTTGTGCAAGCAAGGCTTCTTCCTACGTTGTCACATGTGCCCGTTTGGGTGCTCTCCGTGCGGTCGCAGTCTTTGAGTGTTCGTCACTCAGAGGACTATGTACATCTTTCGGTCGCCATATTTTAGTCTTCGTCACTGAGAGGACTATATATGCAAGTCTTTCGAATTTCTGCACGACTCCTCGACGAGAGTCGCTGCCCACGTTGATTGTGCTGATTTTCCCGACATATCTATCCGAAGAAGCGCCAAAGAATGTCTTCGGGTGGGGTGGTTTGGTTGCAACAGTAGTAGCACAAAACGTGCGGGGAGGGGACTACTGTATGCGTAGTGTGCCACTGCTGTTTAGGGGTTGATTGTCGTTTGTGCCATTCATGTTTCCCTTTCTCGCCCTTCGAGGCGACAGACTACTGCAGCTGTTCATACGTTCGGGGATTAGCGGTTGTTGTGTGTGTTTTTCGATGTTTGTGGGTCCAATTTGGTACATTCACGCACAAACTAGAATGCTGCGTTTGCAAGGTCCATTCAACCGCTTTGACCAAGGCGCAGTGTGATTCCGTACTCCTGCCATCGAGGATTCGCGAGCTTTGTTTTGTTATGGCAATAATTGACTAGATTGCGCTTTTGTCAACGTACTAGCAGGTAGCAGGCTTGTCGTTGTCGCAACCCGTACGTGGTCGCGAAATGATCGCTTGTCAAAGTACTGTCCCTTCGTGTCCGAAAGCCCTTCGCACCGAAAGCCCGCGGATCACAGAAGATGTCGTCAGCCGTGCATCAATTTTCTGTTTTCCTCTGGACCAACCAGAAAACTCGCGTGCATGAATCATTTTCTCTTTGATTTCCAATGTTTTCCGGCGGGAGTTACTTCATAGCGTCGTTGTCGCCAGTCTTCGGCTCTCAATGCGCATCACGTCTACTTAGCAAGGTGCTGGTCGTGGCTGTCCGTATGCATATGACCAGCAGAGTATCACCCTGCCTGGGTCTGTTAGACTACTTCACATACCTCCCACTGAGAATCATAAGAGCAAACATGTCACGTACTGAGGAGGAACCAAGACCACTACTAGTGCTGAACGCGGAGAGTGGGCGTGTCTCATCATATACGATCCCGTTCGACTGTGGGCATATCTCGAACGGGTAGTCTTCCTGCGAGTGTATTTTTCCTAATGTAGTCTAGTCTTTCTGTGGTACATGACTCCTGCGGACGCACGGATGCTCATGCGGGTGCCGGCGGGCTCTTGCCATTGCCAAATATTATTTGAGACCAATGGGTAGGGGGCCCACAGAAGGTATTCATCAGCCGCTGCGTTTCCTCCAATTATTATGGAAAGAGAGAGTAGGTGCAGCATTCCTTTTCCATGACGACCAAGCACGTGTTGCCACACGACACAGCAGTAGTGCCACGCCCGGGAAACTCAACGTATGGACCTTGGCTAAAGGTAGACATTGCAAGGTAGACATGTATGACGGAGCCCTGCCGTGAGAGGAGGAGAGGTGGACACCAAGCCTTTTCAGTAAATATAAATATGACACCCCCCCCCCCCCCCCCCCCCCCCCCCCCCACCCAAAACTTCCCCCCTTCCCCCCTAT